GACTTTTTACTTCAATATATGGATGTGTTTTGTCTTCACTTATAATGGGAAACTTATTATCAAATGGGTTTACTTTAATTTTATTATTATTTGTTCTTAAAATTATTTTTTTTCACGGGCCAGATTTAATGGCGCCATTGGACATATTTGGCCCTCAGCTCGCATATTAGGAACCAGGGGTCTAGGTAAATGCCACAAATATGATCTAAACTTTGTATAATATGACATGCCAATTCCCAATCCAAAAGAGTTTCCTTTAAATGCTCTTTAGCCTGGTATGTAATGTATCCGTCAATCCGCTGCTCCTTATCTTGTACTTCCTCGTTTCAAACATGTCAAAACCGGCCAACGCTCATTTTCTTTTCTTCCAATGAAACTTGGAACTCGCTCCCGCCTGCTGCTAGATCAATTTCTGACTTTCACCTTTTTAAATCTCACCTCAAATCTGCTGGACTTCTACGATTAGTAGTTTCAAATTTTCTTTGTTTTTATTATTATTTTTAATTCTCTTTAATTATTCTTTGATTGTTATTTCATTTGTTTTTATCATTTGTTCTTATTATTATTATTTTATTATTTTCTTGTTTGATTATTATCACATTAATATTATTATTAGTATTATTGTTATTGTTTTTTTTTTATTATAATTTTTCTTATTACTATTATTTACTTTCATTATTATTATTATTATTATTTTATTATATTTTTTCATTATTATTATTATTATTATTTTAATTTTATTATTGTATTTGCTCTTTATTGTGTAATATATTGTAAAGCGCTAGTGACAACTTCCGTTTTAAACCGGCGGCGCTATGGAAATTTTACAATCTATTTATCTATCTAAAAAGAAATACATAATGTCAAATGATGCATGATACTCAAGGTTATTTATTTGGCTTTGGCTGCTAAACGTAACTAGATAATAATAATATTAATTGTTTATAATATGTTTGGTCTGAAACTCCCCCTGTCATCTCTCTCTTCGTCATAAAACTCAACATCTAGTTATCCGTCTGATTGGACCAGTTTTTCGTAGATTTGGAACCGTTGCTCTGTGGAGCTTTTTCAACTTATACCATCTGTTCGTAGATATTCCAGAAAACACCAGATTTTCTTTGATTTGTCATGCGTTCAATCTTGAACCTCCTTTTTCAAATTCATTTGTTCGTCATTCGGTTTCTTTTGGAATATTTTGTCAACTGATTGTTTTCAGTTTCCTTTCATCTTGCACATTTTAAATCCCGTGTCAACCTTTTTCTTTTTAACTATCCTAACCCTTTACCTTGAGTGGTCCTACGTATTAAAATTAAAAGCGTTAGAACTTGTTCTGCATGGAAAAATTGAACAAATGTTTACCTACAATGAACAAAAAACAAAATATGTTTTTGAAATGTCTTATTAATTCAACAATGGACCTTTCCGCTAAGCTCCGCCCCTTGGATATTGTTGCTAAGGTCCCACAAGACGGCAGTGTTAAAACATACGCGAACACGTGCGTTTTTGGACAACACGTGTGTTTGTAAGACGCGCGCGTATTCCTAGCGTTGTTCTGATTAGTCAGTTGTTAAGTTTGATTGACACTCCGGAAAGGTCTATTAGAAGTTCAATCTTCAGCATTTAAAACATTTTTTACTCGAAATTGGGGCATGAGATACGGTACTGTACAAATCAAGATAATTGGGCAAGTGTTATCATTTATCTATTTTAATATATTCTTAACTGATATTATAACTTGTATTTTATCAGGTGACATTCCAGATCACACATGTTTCACTGCAGAACCTATTCGCTCTCTAGATGGAACCGACGATGGTGGGGTGATTGGTAGCTATGTAGGATATGTAGAGGACAATGCGCTCCTCAACACAACGTTTGGCAGAGTAGTTGATACTGGTAGTGGTGATGATTTGATGTCTGGAAATGAAGGCATAGAGCTTTCTCTATCCTATTCAGATAAACGTTCTGTTGTGCGTCAGTACTTGTCAGTCGAGCCTGGAAGTCACAGAGTTGGTGCATTCTTTTGCAAGTCAGTGCATTTGTATGATGATCCATCATATATTCCTTCAATTATACTAGCGAGGGAAGGTATTATTATCATTATTATTATTATTATTATTATTATTATTATTATTATTATTAT